TTGCCAACTTTGTCTTCAATGTACCTTATGGTTTCTGGTCTGATGTTGAGGTCTTTAATCCATTTTGATCTTACCTTTGTACATGGTGTTAGGCAGAGTTCTGAGCCCATTTTTTTTGCATGTAGCCGTCCAGTGATGCTAGCACAATTTGTTAAAGAGGCGTTCCTTACTCCACTTCACATTTCTTGCACTTTATCAAAGATTAGATGATCATATGTTTGAGGGGAGATGTCAGTGAATTTAACCCTGTTCATTGGTCTGCAGTTCTGCCTTTGTTCCAGTACCATGCTGTTTTGATTATTACCGCTTTGTAGTACAGCTTGAAGTTAGGGAGGTTGATTCCTCCCATTTTCTTTTTCCCAAGAGTTGCTTTAGCTATTCGTGGGGGCTTATTGTTCCATATAAATTTCAGGAGTGTTTCCTCCATTTCTTTGAAGAATGTCATGGGTATCCTTATAGGAATTGCATTGAATTAATACAGTGCTTTCGGTAGTATTGCCATTTTTACAATGTTAAGTCTCCCGACCCATGAGTAGGGGATGTCTTTCCATTTCCTCATTTCCTCTTTTATTTCCTGAAGTAGCGTTTTGTAGTTTTCTTTGTACAGGTCCTTTACTTCCTTAGTTAAGCTGATTCCTAGGTACTTGATTTTCTGGGGCACAATTGTGAACGGGAATGATTTTTTCATATAGCTTTCCTCTCTCTCACTGTTTGCGTATAGGAAAGCTATGGACTTTTGGGTATTGATTTTATAGCCTGCAACTTTACTATACAAGTCTATTGTTTCTAGGAGTTTTTTGGTGGAAGTTATTGGGTTCTCTAAGTAGAGTATCATATCATCTGTGAATAGTGAGAGCTTGATTTCTTCCTTTCCTACCTAAATGCCCTTAATACCTTTTTCCTACCTAATCGCTATTGCAAGTACTTCCAGTACTATATTGAACAGCAGTGGAGAGAGTGGGCATCCCTGTCTCGTCCCTGATCTTAGAGGGAAGGCTCTCAGTTTTTCCCCATTGAAGATGATGCTTGCTGTAGGCTTGTGGTAGATGGCTTTAATTAGGTTGAGGAAGGTCCCCTCTATACCCATTTTGGCTAGGGTTTTCATCATAAAGGGGTGCTGGATCTTGTCAAATGCTTTCTCTGCATCTATTGATATGATCATATGCTTTTTATCTTTTCTTTTGTTGATATGGTGGATTATGTTGATTGATTTCCGAATGTTAAACCATCCTTGCATCACTGGGATGAATCCTACTTGGTCATGGTGTATGATCTTTTTGATGAGTCGTTGGATTCTATTTGCTAGTAGTTTGCTGAGGATCTTTGCATCTGTGTTCATCAGGGATATCGGCCTGTAGTTCTCTTTCTTTGTGTTATCTCTGTCTGCTTTTGGTATCAGTGTTATATTTGCTTCATAGAAACTATTCGGAAGTGTATTTGATATTTCAATTTCATGGAAAAGCTTAAAGAGGATTGGGAGTAAGTCTTCTTTAAAGATTTGGAAGAATTCACTGGTGAATCCATCCGGGCCAGGGCTTCTGTGCTTGGGGAGACTTTTTATTACCATTTCAATTTCCTTGATGGTGATAGGTCTGTTCAGGTATTCCAGGTCTTCTTGGTTCAGCCTTGGGAGTCTGTAGGAGTCTAGGAATTTATCCATTTCCTCGAGGTTTGATGTTCCGTGGCATAAAGCTTCTCAAAGTATTCACTGAGGATCCTTTGAATATCTGTAGTTTCTGTTGTAATGTCGCCCTTTTCATTTCTGATTTGGTTTATTAGGGTTTTCTCCTTCCCTTTTTGAGTTTTGCCAGAGGCTTATTGATCTTGTTTATGTTCTCAAAGAACCAGCTCTTGGTTTCATAGATCTTTCAGATTGCTTTTTGGGTTTCCATCTCATTAATATCTGCTCTGAGTTTTATTATTTCCTTCCTCCTGTTTGGATTGTGGTCATTTTGTTGGTCCTTCTCCAAGCTCTTAAGCTGTGAGGTTAGGTTACTTAAAGGGGCTCCATCCTCCTTCCTGAGGAATGCTTGTAGAGCTATAAACTTTCCTCTTAACACAGCTTTTGCTGTGCCCCATAAGTTTTGGTAACTCATGTCCTCATTTTCATTCGTTTCTAGGAATCTTTTGATTTCCTCTTTAATTTCCTGTCTAAGCCACTCGTTGTTTAATAGCGCACTGTTTAATTTCCAGGTGTTTGATTTAGTTTTCTGTTTTTGTGTGTGATTTACTTCTAATTTCAGCGCATTATGGTCTGAGAGGATTGTTGATATAATCTCTACCTTCTTAATTTTATGGAGGCATGTTTTGTGGCTCAGCATGTGCTCTATCTTGGAGAACGTTCCATGTACACTTGAGAAGAATGTGTATTCAGCTTTTTGTGGATGAAATGTCCTGTATATATCTACTAAATCCCTTCCTTCCATTGTTTCCCTCAGATGAAGTATGTCCTTGCTAAGCTTGAATCTGGTTGATCTATCAAGAGGTGACAAAGCGGTGTTGAAGTCTCACACTAGTATTGTGTTGCTATCGATGTCTTTTTCCAAATCTATGAGTAGTTGTTTTAAGTACTTTGCTGGTCTCTCATTAGGTGCATATACATTTATTATTGAAAGTTCTTCCTGTTGTACAGATCCTTTGATCAATAGGAAATGGCCTTCACTCTCTCTTATTACCTTCTTCACTCTGAAATCGATGTGGTCTGATATTAGGATGGCTACCCCAGCTTTTTTCTGGGAGCTGTTTGCCTGTAGGATTGTTTTCCAGCCTTTGACTCTGAGTCTGTGTTTGCTTTGACTATTGAGATGTGTTTCTTGCAGGCAGCAGAATGTTGGGTTCAATTTCCTAATCCATCCTGCCACTCTATGTCTTTTAATTGGTGCGTTTAGCCCATTGACATTGAGAGAGATTATTGCTATGGGATTTTGACCCATTGTTCTGTTGAAATTTGGTGTATTTGAGAGGCCTGTCTTGCCTTAAAGTAGCCCATTTAGTTGTACTTGGAACCATGGTTTTGAGTCTATGAAGTTCCTGAGCTGTTGTTTGTCTGTGAAACTGTGTGTTGTTCCTTCTATTATGAATGAGAGTCTCGCTGGGTAAAGTATTTTTGGAGAAGCATTTATTTCATTGAGTTTTTTCACTATGTCCCACCACTGTTTTCGGGCCTTGAGGGTTTCATCAGAAAAATCAGCTGTGAATTTTAAGGATGCTCCTTTGTAAGAGATTTCTTTCTTCGATCTTGCTGCTTTCAGAATTTTGTCTCTGTCTAAGGTTTTGGTCATTTTGATCAGGATGTGTCTTGGGGTATTTTTATTCGGATTTCTTCTAGCCGGTACCCTTCGGGCCTCCTGAATGTGGTCACAAGTTTTCTTCAGCTCTGTAAACGTTGTAGCAATGATTTCTTTGACAGTTTTTTCTTCATCTAGGTTTTCTTCCTGTACCTCTGGGACTCCAATAATTCTTATGTTACCCCTCTTGGCTTCATCACAATCTTCTCTTGCCATCTGTTCTCGAACTGGGAGTCTCTTTTCCATTTTCTGCTCTTTTCTGACAAATCTCTGAACTTGATCTTCGAGCTCACTGATTCTGTTCTCAGCCGCTGTTACTCTGCTGCTGAGGCCTTCCACTGAGGTTTTCAATTCGGCTACCAGGTTTTTCAGGTCTGACATTTCTGATTGCATTTTCCTCATTTCTGCCTTCAAATCCTCTTGTCTTTAATTGGCATTGGTTTCCATTGTATCTTTTAGTTCCCTAAGCATCCTAAGTAGCTCCATTCTGAATTCCTTGTCAGAGAGGTTGTCTAACTCTATAGTATTGTTGGTGTCTTCTGGGCTAGCCTCATGAATAAGAAAGTTTGGTGGGCTTTTGCGTTACTTTACCATTGTGACCAGTGTGGTTTGGTCCTTCACACTCACTGTTACTGTTATGGTTGAGTGAGGAGACACTGCCAGGAGCCGTTCAGCTTTGTTGTTGCTAGATGGGCCTCTTCTACCTTTCTGAGTCTGACCTTCTCAATCTGGCGTTATTCTTTGTTTTATAACTGACATTGAGTGAAACTTTTGGAGGAGGTGCTATTTACTACTGAGCTTGTACAGCTATTTTCAAACAGGACTTTTGTTGGAAATGGACTAGGCGAGTGGGATTTTGTTGAATTGTAGTAGAAGAGGTGAGAAATTTTTGGTTGGTATTAGGTAACAAGTTGATGAAAAGGATGAAAGGATGAAGGTCCAAATTGCTTGGAGTGAGTGATATACCCGCCAGGAAGCAGGCCACGCCCACTTTTAGGAGGCCACACCCTCTTCTTAGAGGCTACGCCCCTAGCCAGTCCCAGGCCACTCCCTCCCAGGATCCTGGAATGGGGGGGGGGGGGGCGATGGACTGCTGGACGGGCCGGTCCAGGAGCTGGACGCACGCTGGTGTCGGCGCTGTCCTTCGGCGGGGATCGGTGGGTGGGCGGCGCGTCTGGGGTCAGGGGCGGACCTCCGCTGGGCTCCTCCAACCCACCTGGATGGGGGGCCGGTGGACTGCTGGGCGCGCTAGTCCCGGAGCTGGACGCGCGCTGGGGTCGTAGTGTGTTTTTCTTACAAGTGGCCAACCTGAGTTCAATCCCCAACATTCGTTATGGTCCCTTTAGCACCACCAGGAGTGATTCCTAAACTCAGAGTGACCCCTGACCTTCACTGAGTGTGGGCAAAAACCACAACAAATACAGTTTAAAATTCACAAATCTGTTTTGACACAATTTATTATCAGTATGCTATGAATCTCTAAATATAAATGAAAATAATGTGTTTACATTTTTCAAGAAGGTAAATACAGAAACTTTTGTTTCCTCTTGAGTAATTCCAATGAGTGGTCTGTCATTGATGTTTCTGGATTATTTTATGATACCTTAAAAAACACACGAAATAATACTTTTTAAAGCCCTTTGGGATGGGAGTTACACAATTAGATTGCTTCCTAATATAAGAATGACAACATCAAATTCTGATATGCTTTAGAATCTTGTGAGAGGCCGAGATTTGAGAATGCATTAAGTAAAAGAAATGGCACATGGTTTATGCTCCATGACCAGCTGGAGTATGAATGCAAACCTGGCTATGAAAACAGAGCAGGACGGAGCAGTGGTTCCATAATCTGTCAGCACAATGGTTGGTCTGAACAACCTGTATGCCTTGGTAAGTTCTATTTTTGTTTTTCAAGTATTCTTTTTCAGAATCATCAGATGAATGGTTATCTACAGCTATTTTTAAGGAATTATAATATAAATTCAGGTGTTATCTTGCTACTTAATGTAAACTAGGAAGAATGGGTGTTTAGAAGCACAAAGAGGGTGGTCTATGTTGAACATATAGATAATTGTGCAAGGTATAGAGCATTGCCTTTGGATCCTATATGTTAGGCTTTGTGAGTGAAGGATTATTTTCTTGTGCTATATAAAACATAGCATGCATGTGCAAAACTATTGTTTCTCATAACTTCTTAGGCAATTCTGCACTTGACTTTTGTCTTTATTCTTCTATGCTTGTGTATTAATATCTAAAATCTTTTGAAAGAAGTCCCTTATGCACAGACCTAGATAATATCCGTGGACTATTACACAAATGTCTTTTGCGTTAGCTAATTAGTAAATATTTAAAAGGGTTAAAAATAGGACTTGATTCTGTGGAAGAAATTATAGCCAAGTGATCCACATCCACGAACCATATTTTTGTGAATCTAAAAACTAAAAACTTTTAAGAAGTATTGTGGCAATTAGATTCTTGTCAAGATTGGGAGGAATTTGTGATAAAAGCCTGGACAGGAAACAAATAAGAGATGAGCCTAATATTATTTGTAGGTGCAGAAAACTCAAAGTTTGAAGGTATTTACAATGATCTTTTTCTATAAATTTTGTTTAATTGAGTCACCATGAGAAACAGTTACAGAGCTGTTCATGGCTAAGTTTCAGTCATACAATGCTCCAATATCCATCCCTCCACTAGTGAACACTTTTCAGTAGCAATATCACTATTTTCCTTTCTGCCAACAACAACCTCCCCACACACACAGCTGACATTATTGCATGAATTTTCTCTCTTTCTCTCTCTCTTTCTCTCTCTCTCTCTCTCTCTCTCTCTCTCTGTCTCTCTCTGTATCCTTTTGGGCATTATGGTTTGCACTACAGATGCTGAGAGGTTATCATTTTTGTTCCTTTACCTATTTTAGGACGCAGTGCTTATCCAGAGCGATTATATCCAACTATCTTTTATTTAACGAAGCAAAAGAATTCAAGAATTTAGAAAATAGAGATGTGGGTATTTTACTCAATTTAGCAATGCAGCTTTGCAAAGAAGCACTCCTAAATAAAAGTTTTCTGGGTAGAAATGCAGTTATGTGCAACAGGTGAAGGAGCAAAGAGTGAACCTAGTTTTAAAATATTCATTTAGACTGGAGCATAGCAGGTAGGGCATTTGCATTGCATGCTGCCAACCCTGCCTCCCTACCCCCCCACCCCCCAACCCCCTATTGCATTCCTGCCTCCCCCACCCCCAAACCCCCTATGTTTGCTTGTTCCCCTCTTGGGGTGATCCCTGATCCCAGAGCCAGGAGTAAGTGCTGCACTTCTCTAATTGCGACCTAAAAAAACAAAACAAAAATCTCAGGCATTATAAAGCCTGAGTGTGGATTGACAGTGAAGCTAGAGATAACATGGAAAGAACTGTATCATAAATAGCTAAATTATACTCTCACTAAATGGTGAGGTTAGCGATAGCACAGTGGTAGGGCGTTTGCCTTGCACGCTGCCAATGTGGCCGACCGGAGTTCAATTCCTCCGCCCCTCTCGGAGAGCCCGGCAAGCTGCTGAGAGTATCTCACCCGCACGGCAGAGCCTGGCAAGCTACCCATGGTGTATCCGATATGCCAAACACAGTAACAAAAAAAGACAAAACAAAACAAAACAAAAAAATCTCCAATGGAGATGTTACTGGGCCCACTCGAGCAAATCGATGAACAACGGGAGCACAGTGACAGATGATAGGGGGAGTAGAGTCAATTTCATATTTTATGAGTAGCCCAATACCCAGGTTCTCTTTACTTTTTTGGCTCATGCCTTTAGACATTTGGCTGGCTGTGCTCAGGACTTATTTATTCCTGGCTCTGCAGCATTCGGGGATCACTCCTGGGGGTTCTCAGGGAACCAGATGCCCTTAGGACTAAACCTGAGTCAGAAACATTAAGGCGAGAGATTTACCTTCTGTACTACCTCTCTGGCCCCTCTAATAAAGCTCCTTTAGTTGTTATTGAGGGCGTGTTTTCCCAACAATGACCCAGGGATGTTGGAACAAGAAAGCAAGAGCAGCATCAGGTCCTTGAGTCCTTATGCTGAAGCAACCCCTGGTGGACCAACAATAGCAGATGCATCTTTGTACTCTTGAGACCCACTTTTTAGAACATCCCCAATATGACAAAAATACAAACAAGACAGCAAGAACACAATAGTATATTATGTATATATTCAGAACTCCTAATCTACATCCAATCATCAGCCCTGAGCACAATGCTTTTCATTTCATATTTTAATGAGATGATTTTTAAATCTAATTTCTCTTTTCCTAATGATTTTATTTGTAATCTAGAGTATGTTGAAATGCCTTTATGCTTCAAGTTTTATAATTACTTTAAATAGACATAGTGTTTTTGTTTCTTTGCAGTTTAAAGATTGTAGAATTTTATTGATATGATAAGTTACTTTTATGGTTTAATAATACAAAAGTTTACATTAAAATATTTATATGTTGATAAATATATATTCAGTCAAGCAAGTTGATTTCCAAAATATTGCTGGGAGTTATTGCTGCTCAGTAAATTAGCATAGCTCAGATGCCAAAATCAAAGTACACAATATTTAAAATAATGACTACTTATTATTTCCAGGAAGATAACTTATTTGACATTGTAGACTTCATATTCACATGACATATAAAGTTTACTTTGCCAATGATTGATTCCATATTTTCATTCAACTGTTTTATCATTGTATAGAAAAAGAATGCACTGTCCCGATGTTAGATGAACACATATTTGCTATGCCTTCAAAACAAAAATATAAAATCGGAGAGGTGTTGAAATTCTTTTGTAGAATTAAACCTGTGAGAGTTGGACCAGACTCAGTTCAATGTTATCACTTTGGATGGTCTCCTAATAATACAACATGTAGAGGTAAATATTTGTCTTGCAATTGCTGAACGAAGAATTCAGATTTTTTTTGTATCAACAATTTTTCCTCTCAGTTTTATGTTGGCTTCTAGTGTTCCTGTGATCTAATGCAATTAGACAGATTCATTTTCATGAAGGATATATGTTTGATAGCAAACATCTCATATTTCTTTATCAAAGAATGTGATTTACAATTGTTTCATGAAATATGTAGTGTGAGTATATTTATATACTATGTGATTGCTAACATTTCATTTTTGCCAACCACTGCACCAACAACATTGACTCTAATTAATGTCATTGGCTTCATTCCAAATTTCATTGAGCATTTGAGTATATCTAAATAATATTCTAGGTCATATTCAATTCATTAACCTGTATGGCTTAAAATATATTCAAATATAGTAATAATACGGAAGCATTAATGATGGCATTTTAAATATTTGGAGCCATAGCACAGAGGTAGGCATTTGCCTTGCACGCAGCCAACATGGCCTACCTGAATTCAATTCCTCTGCCCCTCTCGGAGAGCCCGGCAAGCTACTGAGAATATCTCGCCCGCACAGCAGAGCCTGGCAAGTTCCCCGTGACGTACTCAATATGCCAAACACAGTAACAACAAGTCTCATGATGGAGACGTTACTGGGCCCGCTTGAGCAAATTGATGAACAACGGGAGGGCCTCGAGCAAATGTCTAAATTGAATATGAGCATTGGATTTTATAATTTACTTTGAAAAATATATAAGTGGAATTTAAATCAAGTTTATAATAATATTTAGATTCATGAATGCTTTTTCTAAACTTAAACATAGTTATAATAATTAAGTTCGGTGTAAGAGGTCTGAGAAACATCAATCTTGTATAATGTCATATTTTTTGCACAGCTTAAGAATGCTATAAAAATTATTAAATATATTAAAGAAAAATTGCCATGAACTTAATATCTATGTTGGAAATTATATAAATTATCATTTGTCACACATTTCTACTACAGATTATGCCAAAAATTGTGGTTCCCCGCCTTCACTTTTGAATGGAAAATTGACAGAAATGGAGAGAGACGTCTATAAACACAATGCCGTGTTGGAATATGTTTGTGATCCTCAGTTTCTGATGAAGGGTTCCAAGAAGATTCAGTGTGTTGATGGAGATTGGACACCTCTGCCTATGTGCATTGGTACTGTCTAAGCACTATTGAAATGAATATTTTTTTGTTGTTATATGTATTACTATAACTTGCTTCCTAAGGAGAAACATAATTTTATGACAATTTTTGCAGCGGAGAAGCGTACATGCAAAGATAAACCTGAACTTGAGAATGGCTTTGCTGAACCTTCTGCTCCTCTTTATTATCATGGAGATTCAGTCGAGTTCAGTTGCACAGTTGGATTTACAATGATTGGAGAGAAATCAACTACATGTTTCCGTGGAAGATGGACCCAACTTCCTAAATGCATTGGTATATCTCTCAAATTTCACTAATAAAATGTATTGTTTTCACATGAAAACCCAGTTTTTAAATTTAAATATTTATTCTCTAGTATGTACAATCTTAAATTACAACAGTAATTGCACAACATCTTTCATGGAGGAAAAATAGAAATCGAGGATACTATCTCATGAATCCTTCCATCCCTGATATAAAATTATTTACAAGTGTTGAGCTATATCTTACTAATGAATTAAACTATTAGTTGTAATAAACAGGAAAATATTATGGCTTCTTATATGGTATCTTTTCTTTTAGGCCATGAAACAAGAGAAAACACTTACTCATTCTACTTCTCCTAGGAGTCTAACCTATCTCAAAATGATAGTGATCAATTCTCTTTCAGCTACAACAGAACAGAAGTTAATATGCCGGAGGGTGGGTGGGCAGAAGACCTTTTCAGCTAGTGAGACAACTTAACCATAGGAGACAGGCCAATTGTGCCAGGAAACCAATATGGCTATGCCTTCCACTCTGTAAGTGAATGTTTCTAACCATTGGATGTCCAAATCTTGGGTGATCAACTAGAAGAAGCTTGAGGACCCTCTTTCACTTCCCTTAAATACCTTGTCCCCAAGACTTCGATGGGGTCCTATCAAAGAAAGAGTTGGATCTCCAATCTTGTTTACTTACCAGTTTTCCAGCCCATTTATTATTCCAAGAAATGTGTGTAATTTTGACCATTAGAGTAAGGATTTGCAATTTATTGTTTGCTAATGTTTTACCAGCAAATATTACCACTGATGACCTATAGGAGACATTCAATAGAAGTTTGTTCACAAAGTAATCCTTTCAGACAATAAAGTACATAGGGACAGCATCACTTATTTTGACTATATATAGTCAATATTAACCATATTTTATATTATATATAATATTAACATATATACTCCTTTGGTTAATATTCTTGAAAAATTCCCTGTTGATCAATACTCTGAATCAGTCCTTAATATAGGACTATATTCTCAGACTGCTTGTGTAGTTCGAATTAGCCTCATATTTCCAATTTATTTTCAAGGTTACATTGCAAAATTATTATTTCTTTTTAACAGGTAATCTGTCTCAAACATTTCATTTTTCCTTATTGAAATTTATTAACTACTAGTCAAGCAAATATCCAAGAATCTGTATTGCTGTTTTAACAAATTCAAAAAGAATTCTCACTTGCATTGAAGCTTTGAAGATTGTAACTTCCGGTGGCCTAAAAGACCCATTTTTAACTCATGTTGAACCTAGAAAAAATGTATTATTATGTCCTGATATTATTGGATAATGAAGTTATTTGATTATAAAATAGCTTGTTAATGACTATAAACTATATATGTCAAGCAGGTTTTGACATCAGATACTCTGCTCCCATTTTTTTTAAAGCTAGAGGCATTTTTCTTTGAATTTTGGTTACTGTGCAAAAGATCTCCTTGAATATTTACATTCTACACACTACCTTTAGCATATAATTCTTTTATTATGTCACCTTACTGTTTTGAAAAATAAATATTTAGGCTAGAAGTGCATCACATATTGAACCTAAAATTTCTTCTGCTTATCTGGAAAAAAAATATATGTTTAGGCAAGGAAAACTTCCCTTTTCCTACTTGCAGAGCTCATTGTTTTCCAGGGATGATTGTTTTCAATTAAATGCTTAAAGGTTAGGGATTTAAAATGATGTGATTTTGAAATGCTTGAAATCAAGAATGAAATGAATATGAACATTTACACAGATTCCAGATATGTGAACAAATTGAACCATATGATGACTGTTAGATTGCTGACTATAAAGAACACCCCTCAAGGCCTCTTCTCTTCTCCTAATCCCAAAGTGCAAAGTATATCTGGGATGCTACTTTCTCTGAAATATCTGAGATTGGACACAAGATTCGTTCACATATAATAGTTCATCTCATGCAATATGTTCAGGAGTGATTTGATTGGTGGGATTTATGGGCATAAGTTATCATTTCATTGTACTATTGACACCATATTCTAATCATTTTAATCATTTCATTAGTACTTATAGTCTTTTGAATATTATATTTTCATTTTATAGCAACAAATAAACTTAAGAAGTGTAAAAAAACAAGACTAATTTCATCTAATTCAAGTTTACGTTCTAAGAATTTCTTTGATCATAATGACAATGTAAATTACACGTGTGATAATAAATCAGAAATGAAATTCTCAACGTGCATAAATGGAGAATGGGATCCTGAAATAAGCTGCAAAGGTGAGCTCTTCTTGTCCAGTTTTAATATTTATTCTTTTCTCCCTAAATTATAAAAATAATTTTTGTTTCTTCTAAAAATACCTGCTAATTATTAAAGATAATTTCAATTTGAATATAAATTTAAGCAAAAGCAGTTTATAGTTATACCTATATTTATATGTTTAATATGCATAAAGCATGTAAATTTCATAACAAAACCAGAAAGTCAGCAGATTTATTATTGTTCTTTTATTGCTATTGTATTTTATAAGAAACACACACAACCATCCACTAGTTATCTTCAAATCTTGCTCAAATCCTTCCCCTTTCATCCCTCCAGGTATTTCAGTTCTATTATATTGCTTGTTTTTGCAGGGTGTTTGCCTTGCACGCAGCCAACATGGCAGACCCGAGTTTGATTCCTCCACCCCTATCGGAGAGCCTGGCAAGCTACCGAGAGTATCTCGCCCGCACGGCAGAGCCTGGCAAGCTCCCCGTGACGTATTCGATATGCCAAACACAGTAACAACAAAATCTCCAATGGAGACGTTACTGGGCCCGCTCGAGCAAATCGATGATCAATGGGAGGGCCCTTTACTTTACTTTCCCTTTTATGCTTGCTTTCTTATTGCATATACACATGTATATGAAATCATAGAATATTTTCCTTTCTAATTTAGACTTTTTTGCATTGAAAAATTCTTTCAAGTATCTTCCATTTTCCTGAAGGTGACAAACTTCTAACTCCTTTGATTGGAAATTAGTTGTTCACGTATTTAAAAATAATGGTGCAAGGGCTGGGAAGATAGCACAACAGGTAGGGTGTTTGCCTTGCACATGGCCCACTGGGTTTGATTCCCAGCATGCCATATGGTACCCTGCACACCACCAGGAATAATTCTGAGTACATGAACCAGCCGTAACTCCAGAGCATCACCATGTGTGACCCAAAATGCAAATAATAATAATAATAATAATAATAATAATAATGGTGCAGTAAACATTTCAATACCTAGGACTCTTCAAGTTAATAATTTCATCTTCTTTGGAAAGGTGTAAGATTGTTTGATCATTTAGTAATTCTATTTTGGTATTTGGAGGTTGCTTGGTACTTGTTTTCAAAATTACTGCATTAATTTACATTTTCACTAGAAATATGCCAGGGTTTCACCATCTTCATATGATTAATTTCTACCTTTGACTTATAGTCAGAACAAGTGCTTGATTTTTATGTTCCTAAATATGTGTATGTTATGTTACATGATATATCCTGGAGTTAGATATTTACTATCTCCAGTTCCATGTGTGATAAAGAAAAAATGGGAATTCAACATTTTGAGGGCATTGGACCCTATGTATGTCCATTAATTCAAATACTTTCAAATTCTCATTTAATGCTCATCTATCTTTACTGACATTCTGTCTAGTTGATGTGTCTAATGGCAAAAATGGAGTGTTGAAAGCTATCACTCCTGCTTTGTTTCTGTCTGAGTAGTTCCTGATCTACCCATTCAGCCTATTTACTTCCTTCCCCTCACACTTTATTTAAATACTGTTTTATACAAAGTTGTTCACGATGATTTCTTACAGGCATGTAGTATTCCAACACTCCAACACCAATCCCTCCACCAGTGTCACCTTCCCTCCACCATTGTCTCTATTTTTTTCAACCATCCCTTAAGTCTGCCCCTGTGGCAGGCCCACAGAAACTTATTTTATACTGCTTGTTACACATAAATGGCTGACAGAATGATCAAAAAGTATTTCTTTAGATGAAAATTGTTGTATCTCACCATGTGGATATTAAGTCCTTGTCAGAGAGATTACTAAAATGCTGTTACAATTTAATCCTCTGTGTGAATGGTTTTGTAAATTGAGATTGTTTGGCTTCTACATTACATCTTATCCAATATGATGTGCTACTACTGGATTGCCAGTGTTATAGAGTCTGGTGATGTCCACATCTCAAAATTCACAGTGTTGAACTGGTCAGTCCAACTGCAGTTAAACTTTTTACTGATGAGTTTGCATGGCAGTGGAGGTGGTTCATGGGCTTGAATGCTGGGGCTTCTGAAAGTACAGGGAGGTGGATGGAGGTTGCCCATTCTGATTCTGTTCAGGCAAGGAGACTTCATCCACAGGGCCCCCACATACCTGTGGTTTCAGCCCAGATAAATTCACTCTGGTGTTCAGTAGTCCTAAGGTGATGGGCATGTCCAGGGCATGCTGGGCAGCTTTGGGGATGGAAACTAGCAGCAGCTGTGACTTTGTTTGGATGGGCACCCTACGTCAAGAGTGTCCCCACTCACAGAACGCCCCACTGTCTCAGCCAGACACAGGTATAGAGAAGTTTGCACAACTAGTTGATTTCTTTCAAGGTTTTTTTGTGACTCTGAATAATGATGAGCTTACAAGGGTCAGAGATGGTTCGTTGGCGAGACTCACTCTGTGATGTTCAAGGGAGAGTTTCATACATTATCATTCAAAGAAATTATTGATACAAATTATGGATTTTTAAGAATCATTCTTCTTTTATGATTTTGGCTATATTTGTCTTTAGGTATTGGTGTTTTTGGCAGGAGACCCTTTAATATTTGTTACAGAGCTGGATTAGATGTAGCAAATGTCTTGCACTCTTGTTTGTCTGAGAATGTTTTTATCATCTGGTTTTTGTGACAATTTTGCAGGGTAGAGAGCCTGAGGTTGAAGTTTTTTTGCCTACAGTGTTTTGAATAGATCATCCTATTTTCTCCTTGCTTGTATGGTTTCATATGAAAGCTCTTTCTTTTGTATTTTAGATTTTTCTTCTCTCTTGACACTTAAAGTAATATGTTTTTGATCTTGTCAATTTTATTACAATATGTGTTGGTGTTCTTCTACTTAGAGATGTTCCGTTTGATTTTCTTTGGGCCTCTTGAATCTATGCATAGATCGCCTCCTGATTGGGGAAGTATTTAGCTTCTATCTCTCTCACTAACTTAGCTTCTCTTTCCAAAATTCCTAGGACTCAAAGATTCTTCCTCTGCTGTTATCCATAAAGTATTTCACATTTGATTCCATGTTTATGTTGCTTTTCTTTTGGCTCTTCTTCTATGATGCTAGCTTGTGCTATGTCTTCACTGACACTCTGCTATCTGAATTCTGCTGCTATTAGTGGTTACTGTCTCCTTGATCTCTTTTCAATTCCATTTCAAGGTATTCTCCAATATTTTGCATTAGTTTTTCTTTGAGATTATTGAGTTTATTTTTTCAGAGCTTCTTTCATTTACTCTATAGTCATGAAGATTGTTCATCCTCAAATAGTGTCAAAATTTGTGTGTGTATGTCAGAAATTGTAATGGGCTTGAGGCAACCTCTGGACATCTGTCCCCATGTGATTTTTAAACTAATTTTCTTGTTCTGTTTTGTGGTTGGCAACTATGGAGCTGCTGTCAAAGATACAAGTCTTTGGTGATGACCACCAAGACTTAAAGGGTGGGTGCAAGTTAGGAATGAGACTGGAAAATGTGAGGTAAGAAAATGTGGTGGTGCAAAAAAATGAGGTGGTGCAAAAAAAGAGGCAAGGGGAGGTGGGTCCCACAATGTAAATGGAAGCAGTCTCAGGGTAAACTGATTCTACCATGTGTCCCTGTTTTTTTCCAGCAGGTGTATCGGGTGTGAGAATGGGGACAATAGATGTTGCTTGGATGCATAAGCAGCCGCACAGTTTCTTTATGAAATGGGGCAGACCACACTGAGCTGGAGCGTCTTCAGCTCCTTTGGCCCAGAGAATGTGGGCCCATATTTAAATAATTTAATACTATTTTTCTTCAAATCTATTCTGTTCTAATTTAATATAGTTAATTATTTTTTTAAATATTATTTCCTGTTATACATAGATTTCCAAAAATACTAAGTGCTTAGTATTTAGTATTTGTGGAAATAACTATATATATCTTCATACCACTCTCTAAATTAAGAAACAAGAAAAATATAAGGACATTTATTATTTTGTCATCTCACAAATCTGGAAGGATAGCAAGTTCTTAAGCAAATTCTTAAGAATTTACTAGTGGAAAATACTTTAAATAAATAAAATTGTCATAATGGGAGAACACACTGCAATCTATGAGTATAGCGTCATGAGTATAGTGCCAAGGAAAGATATTTATAGCTTTAAAACAGGCATTAAATAACAAGGAACAAAGTTAAATCAATATTGCAATCTAGTGCCTAGAAAATCAAAAGAACATTGAATGAAAGAGTAGCTGGAGTGTAAATTGACAAAAATATTTAAAAAACTTAAACAGTTACTAAGTTTAAGTTGAAACGATGAGAGAAGTTTCTTGGTTAGTCCAACAAATGGCAAAGCTACCAAGTCACAGTGCTGATTAAGAGTAAAGGGGAAGGTATTCCTTGTGAACACGTTGAAAATAAACTCCTCCAAGATATTGAAAACAGAAATAACAAAATATTTTTGGGGGATTGGGCCACTCGCAGATATAGTCCTGTTTCTGAACTAGAGATCACTCCTGGAAGGATCGGGGGTTCATTTGGTGTCATGAGGATTGAATCTGGGTCAGCACATACAAGACAAGTGCCCGTCTGTTATACTTTCTCCAGCCCCAAGAAAAATATTTTGATTAACTTCAAAGTTGTCTTCTTAACTTGGAAAATTTGATGATGTTAATAACTATGAATAAAGTATTTTAAGTCAAATATTTTTCTGAATTGAATATACAATTTTGGAAAATTTAGGTTTTCAATTTTCACTCCATATATTTCAATATAGCTTTGAATGAAATAAAGATTTGCTATGAGAGAAGAAAGCAAAAATCAAAGAGCAATAGTGGAGTCAAAGATCTTCTCATTTGAAGAGGTCTTCAGAATATGAGCTCCTAAGATATAGCTGAGATATGGTTTACAGGAGCTCAGACACGTGATTATAGAGGAATCATTTAAATTCTACTATTCTTCAAAATAATATCAGGTTGATGATCTGTTAACCAGTTGCATTTTATCAATTTATATATTTCTTTCTAGGCACTGCAAACAGAATAGTTATTGTACCTCTAGGGAGTTTTAAATTCTTAATCTTGTAACTAGAGAACATATTTCATTCTTATAGGGGCCAAAGACCTGTTTCTGTCTTTTTGTTATCTTCTAAGTTGATATCTTCCTCTGATAAATCAGCATCCATTAATCGACTATATTGAAAAGGTTTTGTTCTTTTAAAAGTTATTTTTAGACCACGACCAGAGGGTCTCCAGGAAGATTCCCAGGTCCTGTGCACTAGCAGTTGTTCCTGAATGTGCTCAGGGCACGATGTGGTGCCACAAAGTGAACCTGGTCCTTATCCCTGACCTGGGCATTCCCAGCATGAACTTCAGCCCTTTGACTTATCCTTCCACACCTTTAAGATGGTTTTAATCCAATCCTTAAGCATTGTTGTACTTACCTATGTATATAGATTTGTTTAAAAATCGTAGATCAATATATACTGTGTATAAATAAATCTGCAATAGGTATAAAATTTAAAAAGTTTCAAGATTACTAAATATGATCACAGAGGGTATAAAAGTAAAAAATTCCAAAATCATGACATATTATACATAAAGCATATATTGTGTAATCATTGTGATACTTCCTTATTGAGTTTTGCATTTCTTGTATTATCTTTGTAATCTTTCAACATGTTTTTTATCAAAAATTTAATTTTAATATTTTTAGATAAACCAATACAAGTATGCCCACCTCCACCTCAGATTCCCAATAGTCAAATTATGACCACCACAGTCAATTACCAGGATGGAGAAAAAATATCAATTCTCTGCCAAGAAAATTATCTAATCCAGGAATCAGAAGAAATGGAGTGCAAAAATGGAACCTGGGTGTCAGTACCACGCTGTGTAGGTCAGTATTGTATAGTTTGTAACAATTATTCCAAAACCATTGTTCTGTTTAAATTAAAGCAGTGAAACCTATATGTTCATTTACTTTCTCTTAAAATAGCAAATTACCAGTACAAACAAATCAATTAAATTCTTTTAGGTTGTCCTGAGAAACAAGTGGGGAAAAAATGGAAGTTGCTATGTTAAACAAGCTACAAGTTCTATTTATGCCCATTTTCCTGCTCACAAAAATTGAACAAGTGTTTTGAGGTATATTGAACATATATATGTGAGATCAACTAAAGATATCTAACCATGCAAGCTTCATTTTTTACCTTAAAATTTAATTTATTCTCATTTCCCTCAGATTAAATGCCAGTGTTGGATTGATTTTTTTCATTGTAACATTTTAATTGATAATAAATTTAATACAAAATATTTTTTTATCTCTGTTGTTCCTCTAGAAAAACGTCCATGTTCTGAACCACCTCAGATTGCACATGGGAACATTACATCAGCTAGATCTTCACTAGGGCCTAAAGTTTACCCACATGGCACCATACTGAATTACACTTGTCAAGCTGGCTTTAGGATATATGAAGAAGACAACAAGATAACGTGCTCCATGGGACAATGGAGTTCTCCACCTCAGTGTGTAGGTGAGCATAATACAAGAATTACAATATTTTTTCAGTAAAATTTGTAAAAAGAACCAGTTACCTTCAACTGGGAGAACTATTCAGATTTATAAACTAATAGTTTTTGGTATGTTAGACATGATTTATGCACTCTAGCAAACAATTTTTGGTATGATCAAATCAATCTACTATTGGAAATAATATAGGCTCATTATAGATATCACTTATAATTTGGCCATTTTTGTGCTGAAATTCAGTGTAGAGTGAAATTAAGTTTACCTATTCATATACTGTGATTCTGCATCCATATAAGTGCTGAATGGGAACTATGCAGTGTTTACTATAATGCGGTGTTTACTTTTCAGCCAGGTTTTTTGTCCTTACGTTGCCCAAATTTTTTACAATATAAGGTACATTTCTTCACTTGATCACTTGATATCCAATTACTCATGAATTTGATCGAGCGGGTGCCAGCAACGTCTTCACTCGTACTAGTGTAGCCCAATGGCATCTGCTTGCTCCAGGAACCCAAGAGCCTCAAAACTTTCACTCACATTCTTGACAAAGAAGTCGAACAATCTCATAGATGGGCGGCTACGCGATCTTTTGACGCAAGGGTGATTAGAGGCCACGTAGAATCCAGTCAGTAATGGCTATAGACCAGCCGTCCTCTCCAAATCATATTATGTGTCCAGCCCATCTGATTTTCGACTCCTTGGCAAGTGAGACAGCATCCCTGATTCTGGATCGCCGACGGAGGTCGGAACTCTGGATTCCTTCTCTCACTTGAGTGAAGCGTGATACTCCAAGCATAGCTCTTTAGATTCCTCTTTGGGATACCCGAATAGCATTCTCATCCTGTTTTCATAAGGCCCAGGTCTCTTGGGCATATGTTAATGCAGAAAGAATGGTGGAGTTGAAGAGATGTGCCCAGAGCTGGAGGTTCTTCATCCTCTTAGCTATTTCTTCGACGCTCTTGAAAGTGTTCCATGCCACTCTCTTCCTCCTGCACAACTCAGGTGCCAGGTTGTTTGTCATGTTGAGTTCTCGACCTAGGTACACATAACTGCTGCATTCAGAGATATTCGTTCCATTGAGAGTGAATGGAATGTCGGAAACGAGTCTGTTTCTCATGAACATTGTCTTCGTGAGATTCAGCTGCAGTCCGACCTTTCCAATACTCATGGTCAAAGTTGGCCAGCACTTGTTCTGCTTGGCTAATGTTTGGTGTTATTAGAACGATGTCATCAGCAAAGCAGAGGTGGTGTAGTTGTGGACCAGCTTGCTTGCATAGTTATCCGTCATCTAGTGCTCTGCCAATCCTATTCAGGATGACTTGAATGAACAGCTTGTAGATGACAGACAACAGGCAGATCAGGAGATAGTTGCCAATGTCATGGATGTATCCCTTCTTGTACAGGAGTACAGTCCTGCTGGTTTTCCACTGGGATGGAAACTTGCATTCAGACAGGTAGCCTGTGAAGAGCTGAGCCAGTGCATTGATGAGCACTGACAACAGATTCTTCAGATGTTCAGTTCTGACCTTGTCTGGGCCAGGTGCTGTTCACTTTCTTTACCAATGAAATGGTTTGTCAGATTTTGGAAGGGAGAATGTTGGGAATGACATATCAATCCTGTGGAATTTGGTATTTGGACAGGTAGACATGGCTATCAAAGAGATTTGAGTAGAAATCATGGATAATCTTTTCCATTGTCCTTCTGAAAGATGAGATAGATCCATAAGGATGTCGGAGGTCAGTCATCTTGGTCTTGTAGTTGGTGAAGGACAGGTGTGCATTGCAAATGCTTTTCCCAGCTTCTGCTGCATTGGCCAGCACTACTGCTTTTCTTTTTGAAGTCTTTTATCCCTTCTCTGCACTGCTTTACGATCTCTGATGTTAGCTCACACAAAGGCATGTTGACGAAAGAGCTCAAGAGTTTCTGAAGATAGGCATCTTTTTGTGGCTTACTCTCTTTACCTGTTCTTCGCACAGTTGATTATATTCTTCGTCAATATTATCAACCACACATCTTCCCATGTTGCCTCAATAGTGTCAAAGAGCTCCCAGTTGGTGGTTGTTCTGGGATTCGATTCTTAAACTTTGCAGCCCCTTTTCCCCGCTCCGTGAAAAAGAATTTTGCAAGAAGGAGACTATGGTCCGATCCCATTTGGAATTTTGGGACAACAGCGACATCAGTCAGACAAAACCATCAATTGAATATGATGTGGTCAATTTCATTTTGGAACTGTCCATCGGGAGACTCCCATATCCAGTGTTTAGATTCAGCCTCTGGAACTGTGAGGTACCATGGATGGTCTTGAGTGACATGAGAACTCAGAGATTCTCTCACCCTGTTCATTCCATTCTAGGTCATGGGTCCCAATGTGGAGTTCTTTGGCCTATCTTCTCGGTCCTATCTTGGCATTAAAATCATGGACAATGATCCTGTAGGAGGTGTGGTCTTCTTTATAGAACTTCTCCAGCTCCATGTAGAACTTCTCAATTAAAAAAGAAATTATATTTCGAGTCAGGGGAATGAGACTGATTTTATTTACTGGTTTTTCCATATCGAATACAGCACGGATCACTTGCCAGGCTCTGCCTTGCGGGTGGGATACTCTTGGTAGCTTGCCGGACTCTCTGAGAAGGATAGAGGCTTTTATCGTGGCCTCTAATCACCCTTGCAGGTGTTCCCATGGTTCAAACCATATTTGAACCCCATCAAATATGGTGCAGTAATAATGGAAGATGGGTATTAAGTGTCTTCTCATGTGTCTTGCGGTCTGGAAAGTGGCCTGGAGCTTGACGTTGGATGGGTAGTGGAAGTATTGGAGGTCAGCCCATGAGGTATTTATGTGGCTCTGGCAGGGTGGGTCTTCTGGGTGAGATCCCTGGGTCGTCAGAGATTGAACGTGAGCTAGATAGACCATCGTGAGATAGTTCAGTTTTACCCTACTGATGATGTGTTGTTGCCGTGGTGCATTGTATGAGAGGAACTCAGTTTCAGACATTTGGTGTTTGAGCTTGACTGTTGGAGCCAATGGGGCAAAGGTACATTTCTTTTTTTTTTTTTTAAATTAGCACATTTTTAATGTTTCCATCATACTGAAGCAATAACATACAGTTGTATCAATAACTATAAGTAGCCATCAAAATCAGAATAAGGTGTAGTTAAGAAGTGATATGTGCTAAGTCAATATTACCTTTGTTTTAATTGAATTTCATTTTAATTGAATTCATTGATTTTAATAAGGTTTTGATCATTCAATTTTCAATATTTGGTTGGGTGGGCTCAGAGTGGCCCCTCAGTTGGTTGCTGAGTCTACTGTAAAATGTGTTGGTATATGCCATGTCTTCTTGATGTTAGGAGACACAGCTGTATTGAAGGGAGAACTCTTTTGTTACATGTTATTGCAAAATTGCGGAATAGGTAAATGATAATTTTTCATTTGGTTCAAAAGACTCTAGCGCCGTAACATGCTTGAGGGTGGTATTTCTGTCCTGTTCACTCTGCTTCAGTACTCAGGCTAGTACCCAGTACAAAATATATGTTTTTTTTTTTAATTTGTTTTATTAGTGAAACACCATGAAGTACACTTATAGACTCACAAATTTTTGTGCTTAGGTTTCAGTTATACAATGATCAAGTACCCATCCCTCCACCAGTGCCCATCCTCCCCCACCACGGGTCCTAGCATCCCTCCGACCCCCCATCCTCCCCCCCCCCCCCCCGTCCCACCCTGCCGCTGTGGCAGGGCATTCCTCCCTGTTCTCTCTCTCTTCTTTTGGGTACTGTGTTTTGCCAGAGAGGCATTGAGTGGCAGTCATATTTGGTCTATAGACCACTTTTAGCATGTCTCTCCCACCCTGGGAGGGTCTTCACAACACCCTTTATTTGGTGCTCTCTTCTCTATCTGAGCTTCCTTCTCACCTAGCACATGTGGCTGGCCTTCAAGTCATGGAGCAAAATTCCTGGTACTAATCTGAGCCCTTCCTGGGTGTTAGTCTCCCGTTTTGTTGCTTTATGTTCCCCAGATGAATGCAATCTTTCTGTGTCTATCCCGCTCTTTCTGACTCATTTCGCTTAACATGATACTTTCCATGTAGTACCACTTGTATGTAAATTTCATAACTTCATCTTTTCTAACAGCTACATAGTACTCCATTGTGTAAATGTAAAAGGTACATTTCTTAAGATGGTTAATTCCTGTTGTATTTCCTTTTACTGTTATTTATTGATTAGTAAATAAATTATGGCTTCTCATATATACATTTTTATATATACATTCTCATATATATCTATGTAGATATAGATATATGTATTTATACTCTTGGCTACATATTCTTGCTCATATTAACAGCTGGGATTATGCTAGAAGACTGATTTTAGGACCTATTTGCAAATCTTCTCTGTGATGTCATCTTAGCTTCTGAGTTTTGATTTAGTGTCAAATAAAATTCTACGAAGGAGCAATAGCACAGAGGGTAAGGCATTTGCTTTGCAGGCTGCCCAGCCAGATTCAATCCTCAGTACCACATCTAGTGCCCCCAGTTCACTGGGGGTGATGCCTGAGTGCAGAGCCTAAAGAAAGCCTGAACTTTCTTTTGGGGACCACTTATGGTCCCCAAACCAAAAATTAATTAAATAAAAATAAAATAAAATTGTTATGTTAACACTACATATTAAATTTCCTAAGCAGTTAATAAAATCAGATTTCAAAGTTAGTGAAACATTGAGTCATTCTTTTATGTTTTTTAGGACTTCCTTGTGGACCTCCACCTCCTATTTCTCATGCTCTACTTCCATTCCACAAGGGAGATGGTTACCAATACGGAGAAGAATTTACATACAGCTGTTCTGAAGGTTATGGAATTGATGGACCTGCAACAGCAAAATGTTTAGGCGAAAAATGGTCCAGTCCACCAGAATGCATAAGTACAGTGTATTATATTCTTCTAAGGCTGACAAATATCTCTAATTCAGAATATAGATACTATAAATATTAATCTAAGTAGTAATTCCAAAATTTATAAAGCTATCTCTGGGAAGGTCTTGAAATTGGTAGAAGTAGTTTCCCCAGTAATAAAAATTGACAACATGAGCTAAATAATAACATTTTCCCACCACCTTGGCTACTGTTTCAATATCCTCCCTCTCCAACATTCACTTTATTTTACAGTGAGGTACAAAGTTGTTACAAAGTTGTTCACAATTGGTTTTCAGTCATACACTGGTCCAACACTCATCCCTCTATCAGTGTACATTTCCCACCACCAATGTTCCCAGTTTTCCTCTCCCATTCCTCCACCCCCATGGCGTCTATCGCAAGCAATTTTCTTCTCTCTCATTCTCACTCACTCTCTTTCTTTCTTTCTTTCTTTCTTTCTTTCTTTCTTTCTTTCTTTCTCACTCTCTCCATTTCTCTGTCTAATATATTTGTACTTCTAATATACATTTGACACTCCGTGTTTCCTATTTCTTAAGTGGCTCATCAATTTCATTAGTATGCAACTTTCTATGATTTAATTTCCAGCTTCCAATGATTTATTTATCAAGAAATATTTTACAAGATATTTAACATTAAAGCTAGCAGATTTTCACAGACAATACACACATACACACACATACACACACACTGTTGCTGATCTTTGTGGGCAGAAAAGAATTTGAATATAAGAAGTATGACCTCAAGCAACACATGTTTTCATACATATTTAGGTTTTCAATATCATCATATCCATATTCTACTTTGGATAAATATAAAACCAGTCATTTGATGCAGTTAAGTCAGTATGTTGGTATTTTTCAAATTATAATAAAAATTATATTAGACATACATACTTTGATATGTTCCTATTATTCTAGAACTTAACTAAAGGATATTATGGGTATTTTCTTGACAGATTTCCTGAATAAGCATGTATTCTTTGTTTTTTTTTTTTTTTCAGAAACAGATTGCTCAAACTTACCCGAATTCCCTAACACCATGCTCATAGGTTCAAAGAAAAGCTCCTATAAGTCAGGAGAAAAGGTGACTTATAAATGTTCATATAATTACCAACTAGATGGACCCAATTTTGCACAATGTGTTAACAGCAAATGGATAGGAGGACCAACATGCCGAGGTAATTCAGTGATAATTTTAATTAATTTATTACACTTATTTGATATTATCATAATATACTATTTAAAGACTCCTTTTTTAGCAGATCCAGATTATGCCTTGATATAATTGTGGATGGAATTGTGTCCTCAACGGTTAATAGATAGTTCGGTAGTACTCACTGTAGTCTTTGAAATAGTAATATAAGTCTCTCAGGCAAGTTACAAGCAAAGGTTAATTTAAAGTTCACTAAGACCCATTCAATCAAAAGCTCTGGAAATGTGACCCTCAGAACAAATTAAGTTCCAAAGAAATCTTGTGCACTTTAGCTGTAGTTTCTTCTATTTTATATAGCCACTAGTACTTCCTGAGGAATTACTCATTACTCATGGGAGTAGTCTGAACCATTTGTAATGAAAAAGTTGTTAAAGGGTGTTTTCATAGGAAATGCATCCATTCTGTTACTTCTACAAGTACACTGTTTGGATCTTCTAATCATTCTTTTTCTTCGAGTTCATCTTTTAAAGTGTGTTCATTGCTGTAGTCCCTAAGGAATGTACTTAAAATTGCTGCTCATTGTCAGAAAGAGAGGGGTAGACATAGAAAGATTGCATTCATCAGGGGGATATGAAGTAACAAAACAGGAGATTAATACCCAAGAATAGCCGAGATCAGTACCAGGAGGATTACTCCATAGCTTAGAGGCCAGCCGACCATTCTAGGAGAAAGGGCAGCTCAGATAGAGAAGGGAGCACCAAATAAAGGGTGTTTGGAGGATCTTCCCAGGAGGGGAGATGCATGTTAAAAGTAGACTATGGACTGAACATGATTGCCACTCAATGCCTCTTTGCAGACCACAACACCCAAAAGGAAAGAAAGAACAAAAGGAAATGCCCTGTAACAGAGGCAGGGTGGGATGGGGGGATGGGTGTGGGAGGGATACTGGGATCCATGGAGGTGTAAAATGGGCAGTGGTGGAGGGAAGGGTATTGGATCATTGTATAAACGAAACCCAAGCACAAAAATTTGTAAATCTACAACTGTACCTCATGGTGCTTCACTAATAAAAAAAAAGAAAAAAAAGATTAGAAACAAAAAAAATTGCTACTCATTAAGAGACTGATTGAGAACCAAATTCTGAAGTCAATGAATTCATTGTAATATTTCCTACAATCTATTCATTTAAAATTTATATAGTTAATAACATGAATTTGTTTAGACCAGAGAGGAAAAAGTAGAAATTCTTATTATTCACTTTTTAAAAAAAATTTTGGGTCACACCCGGTGATGCACAGAGGTTAATTCTGGCTCTGCACTCAGGAATCACACCTGGTGGAGCTCAGGGGACCATATGGGATGCTGAGAATCGAACCCAGGTTGGCTGCGTGCAAGTCAAATGCCCCACCAACTGTGCTATTGCTCCAACCCCTCTTAAAGTGTCTATTAACTCTGTGAAGGATAGAAGAAAAGTTTAAAATAGGGACTGTGGCCAGGGAGACAGCTCTTAGGCTTGAACACACAGAAGCTTGCATGCAGGAGGCACACATCTGTCGCCAGGACTGCGACTTGGACACCAAACTAGGAGTAGTCCCTGGGTGTGACACCAAATGCAATATAATAAGAAAAAGAAAGAGATTTGAACCACAGAATTTATTTGATTGGCTATGTTACTCAAGCCCCCTGAAGTATGGATGTTAAATCTCCCTAAACTATTATTCAAATTCCATTTGTTGATTTTCTACTTAGTTATTGTACTGACGGCTCTTTTTGCTTTCCCTATAGATGTTTCTTGTGGTCGTCCGCCCATGGTTGAACATGCTGTCACACGAAATGATATGGGGAGCTACCCACCTGGTACACGAGTATATTATGAATGTGAAAAACCTTTTAAACTCTATGGAGAATCAGGAGAAGTGCAGTGTTTAAATGGTTTCTGGACAAAACCTCCTCAGTGTAAAGGTAGTGTATCTGAATTGCCCTTAGCTGTTATCCCAACATATTTTGTCCCAAATAAAATATGCTCAGGCAATATATTAAGACATATACATACATGCATATATGGGAAATCCTATGACATATTTTCACTAAATGACTATGCTGAAAATAAATGTTTTGTGTACTTAATATAGTTTATTTTTATGAAATATTTGATCTGAGTAATGGAAAATAAGTCCCGGACTTAAGCTCTCAGGCTCTTATTTCCTGACATACCAAAAAAAAAAGGTATAAAAAATGCTTAAGTTTGGGTTTAAGGGAGACAGATAGTGGTAGGGCACTTGTCTTGCACATGGCTGACTCCGATTTGAACCCTGGAACCCTCTATGGTCACCAGAGCTTGCCTGCTCAGGTGATCCCTGAGCACAGAGCCAGCAGTAAGTCCTGAGCACAATGGGTGTGGCTCCCCAACAAAAATAAACAAATAAGTAAGGTGAAAGGGTTTAGGTATACTTGGAGTCTAAACACTTCACCTGGAGGCATAGACTAGGCAGAGAGTTATTCTAGAAAGTATAATTAAGTTGGACTTCTTCAGCACATGGATTACATTTAAAGACATGATGTCTTGCTGAGCTCATGAAGGAAATGATTAGATACATATAAAAAGTCTGAGGTCTAGATATTGGGGCTTTTCTGAATTGAGAGTCCAGGAAATCAGGAGAGCCAACAAAGAAATTAGGACATGGGCTACTTCTAGCTTTTCAAGATAACTTTTCCTGGTACATGTATGTTCCCAAGTCTTTTCCTTGAATCCACTTATGTTTTTTATGTTTTTATTTTATTTTTTAAATTTTATTCTTTTTGCCTTTTTGGGTCACACCCGGCGATGCACAGGAGTTACTCCTGATTCATGCACTCAGGAATTGCTCCTGGCGGTGCTCGGGGAACCATATGGGATGCTGGCAATTGAACCTAGGTCTGCTGCGTGCAAGGCTGATGCCCTACCCACTGTGCTATTTCTCCAGCCCCAACACTTATGTTTTTATGTGTGAAGAATTTCTTGCAGATAGAACATAAATAGATCTTGTCTTTGTGTCCTCCTTCCCAGTGTTAGCCTATTTCCTATCACATTAGACTTTTTTTTTTATCAGTAATTATGGCTATTAGAGGCTGGGTTCCTCATTATCAGGTTAGTTTCTTGTTATTTCTTTTGTTTCTCTTTTCTTCTTATTATCTTACCTCTGGGTTCCTGAAACACTTCTTTCTGGCTACTTGGTCAAGGCAGGGGCCTCAGGCACATCTGTGGTACAGAAGTATGTTAAAGGCACATATCTAAAACACAGAGCCAGCCACATTGTCAGCAGGGGATCCGGGCTGCAATAACCAAATTTTAAAATGTTTCTGTCTAAAAGCTGGTGGGTGGGAGGGAGTGTGGGAAAACTGGAGAAGGAAGGTGTCCCTGGCGGTGGCACTGATGTTAGAACACTGTATTTCTGATAGTATACTCTGAATTACTTTGTAAATCAGTGTGTCTCGAATAAAAATAAATTGGAAAAAATCAATAGCAGTTAAATCTTAGAGATCCCATGCAAACTGCAGTGTATTTTTTATGAAATCAAAATACTTCATTTTATTCTGTGAAACTGGATTATCTCTTAAATATGTCAATCCTTGAGTAGAGTATGAAATATGTGCCTTCAAAAGCTTAGATATTGATGATCCCAGTTTATGTGACAGTTTAAGTAGGATGGTTTAGGTCCTTCCCCCATGTGTTGGTCTCACTCTTTTACCTACCTGTGGCATGACTCAACCTGTTCATCCCATGCCTCCCAGTGTCCAAAGATCAGGTTCGGTCCTGCACCATACTTGATCTATGGCCTGGCTTCTGGATTTGAGGGGTGACTGGAGCCTGGCACCTGTGTCTTGCTGGTGCCAGCAGCTCTGGTTTTGTTTACTGGCGTCTTGAATCTCCTCAGCTTTTTGACCCATGAGTTTTCTTTGTTCTTGGCCATGTTCTAATTTCCTGCCATCCACCCAGGCACAGATGAGGGGTCAAAGAAGCTGGTACCAGCCATAACCCCTCTGATGTCGCATTGTTTTCCACTCCCTCGACCATTTCCATTATCTCTTTCACTGGCTCCCTCTTTAGTAGGTAAAACTTAAAAGACCAATTAAATCACTAGATTATGTGTTGTCCTTCATCTTTCCTCCACTTCCACTGTAACAGATGTCTTTTGTCCAGCACAATCTGATTATGAAAACCATTTTTCCCCTTGTTTTTAGGCCATACGTGGCAGACTTGGGGGGATCATATAGCGTGCTGGGGATGGAACCTGGGTCAGCTGTGTGTAAAACAAACACCTTGCCCTCTATACTATGACTCCAGTCCTGTGAAAATATATTTTTAATATTTGTTCGAGCGGGTCCAGTAACGTCTCCATTGGAGACTTTGTTGTTACTGTGTTTGGCATATCGAATACTCTCGGTAGCTTGCCGGGCTCTCCGAGAGGGGCGGAGGAATCTAACTCGGGTCGGCCATGTTGGCCGTTTGTAAGGCAAACACCCTACTGCTGTGAGAGAGACTAAAGCAAACCTATTCACTAATGCTCTATCTGCTCTTATGCAGGCTGAAAGGAAATTCTTATAAGCATGACCATTTATAAAATCAAAAATTCTTCATTGAATCTCTTCCATCATGTAAAATTATGACTCTTCATATTACATACATTATAGTTTCACCCATTTAATTTTTATCCTAAACATTTGCTCTCTCTATCCTAGTAAATATAATGAATATTACCATGAAATCAATAAAGCTTCAAGAAACCAAATATTTTTTCTCAGACTCTGTAGGAAAATGTGGTCCCCCCCCATCTATAGAAAATGGAGATACTACTTCATACCAAGTCGGTGAATATGCTCCGGAATCAAAAGTTGACTACCAATGCCAAGCCCATTATGTACTCCAGGGAGACAGGACTATAGTATGCCGCAATGGGCAGTGGTCAGAACCACCTAGATGCCTAAGTAAGTATTTTATCTTTGGCATATTTTAATATTCCAAAGGAGTCAAGGAAAATGACTGATGTTTAGAAAAAAATGTTCATTGATTCACAAACCTTACTGAACTTGACTACAAAACATGAATATAAGAGACAATAAAGTTCGAAAATTCCTTGTTTGAAGCACAACAATAAAACATCCTTTAATATAGGATCTTAATATGATAAATGACATTAGCAATCTTTCATTGTAACTGTTAATTTTCACACTTCAAACATTTTCATACTTTAAACAGTAATTTTTAAATATGATTTAAATTCACATGATTGGGTTTCCATATTCTGTTTTGTAAAAAGTTTGGGTATTAAATTCTTGGCTGAGTGTAGGAGACTCTGCTTGAAAGTCTGACATTTTGTGAGTAGGCATTTGTATACTATTTAAAGTGTATATTATTTTCATTTCAGCTCCCTGTGTAATATCAGAAGACCTTTTGAATGAACATAATATAATATTCCGATGGGCAGAAGAAAGGAAACTGTATTCCGAGTCAGGGGACACTGTTGAATTTGATTGTAAAAGGGGATATCGTAGAAAGTCATATGAATCATTTAGAAAAACCTGTTACAATGGAAAGATAATATATCCCACTTGTGTGTAAAATAATGTTTCTAGTGCATTATTATCTAGAAATTTAAAATATCTACATTTATTATAAAATTTCAACAGTAATCCATTCTTATCAACTCATTCTTAAAGTTTAAATTTTATTCATAAATTCGCAAGTTATGTTACACATTATGTGGATCATGCAATTTTAATCTGAGCGACCAGTAAATTACATTTTAAATGTAGTACATTAAAAGTTTGTAAAAAATAATGCATGTATCCTATTTTTAAAACGTCTATTTTTTTTAAATTTGATGTAGAATCTTTTCTGCCTGCTTTCATCTGTCATTCTTCTAATATTATCCCACCTCTGTCTCTAAGTTCCAGGGATTTCTGAAACTCTATTTCAAAGAAACTGTAGGAATATTCATGTTTTCAAAATGATATCAATAACAAACACTTAAAACTCAGGCTAAATTAAATGTCTATGTTAAGAATAAAATATAAATAGCTCACTTTTGTTTATTTATAACTAGATTACAATTCCAAAATCATGCAATAATCTCACACCTTTGTTTACATATGACTAAATTACAATTCTAAAATAATGCTGATAATTGGAAGAATGGGAAATAGACCATGTCGATATACAGGAGTTAGGTATCATATGTAACACTTGAACTTTCATAGAATGGGATTGGTGTAGTCGTCATAAAAAGTCATATTTAAATTCATTAAAATGAAAACTCTCATGTAGTATTCTCACTTGGGTACTTACTAAAAGGGTACAAAACACTAAGTCAAAGAATAAAAACATCGCCATGTTCAAAGCAGCATTATGTACAATGGTGGACTGGGGAAAACAGCAGTTTCTATTGACATGCAATTGGATAACGAAGATACTGCTTGTGTACAACGAAATACTGAGAGTTATAGGTAACAAAACGAGATCATGCCATTTTTCAGCACATGGATGATTGTGACTTATGAGACAAATCAGATGGAGAAGGACAAATAATACATGATTTCATTCAGATGTGATTCATCAATGGAATGAATTAACTAAATTAGGTACAAAAGGATTTATTGACTATAAGCTTATTAATTGACTAAAACTTATAGGTAATATAAACAGAAAGAACTCAGAAAGTATAAAATCTTCCAGCGTTTATGGATGAGAGAATGGGAAATGGGACTGTGGGGATATTTCAGGAGTTTCAAGGCATTGCCTGATCTGGTCCAATCTTCATCACAGTGTGACTACTAAGCACATTTAGATTTGGACCCAGGTACCAGGATAACTGCAGAATTTTACTCTGTGGCCCAGGCGTACTGCCAGGAAAGCTCAGGTGAATTTCAGCTCAAGTGAACTGCTACCAATCTTGGCAGAGTAAGTCCAGAAATGGCTTTGGAGACACTGAGCAACTCTTGGTAGCATCAATGTTTCTGCCCCCAAAAGAAAGTGGAAGGCAAAGGAGGGAGTTACATTGGGTATGTATAGAATAATATAACTAGTATGTCAATTATTTAGAGAAAGCTAGAAATGCACTCCATGGTGAACGTCTGTAGTATAAACAGAGATTGAGTTATAATGACACATCTGAAACTCCTACAGAATTAATGCAGTACTACTACCATTTGTGAAAAATTGGGAACCCAGGGTGTGTATGGGGATGGGGGGGCAAGTTATATGCCAATGACTGTGTTTAGGTACTTATTCCTGGCTCCATTCATGGATCACCATGGTGGAACCTAGGGAGCAAATGCTGTCCTGGGAATCAAACGAGAGTTGGCTGCATGAAAGGCAAGCACAGAATGCTCTGAAATACCTTTCTAGCCCCAGTAATTTGGGGAAGATGTTGGACCATCCCTGGTGGTGTTTACCTTGCACGTGGCTAACCTGGGTTCCATTCCTCCATCCCTCTCACAGACACTGGGAAGCTACCTAGAGTATCCCGTCCACACGACAGAGCCTGGCAAGCTCTCGTAGCGTATTCAATATGCAAAAAAATCCCAGTAACAACAAGTATCATAATGGAGATGTTACTGGTGTACACTCGAGAAAAATTGATGAACAATGGGAGGACAGTGCTACAGTGCTATTCTCAGTGCTCATCATGATCCAGGCTTCAAAGACTGTATGGAGTGGTTAGGATCAAATCAAGCTCAGAGGAATGCAAGGCAAACACCCTACAATGTGTCCAACTTCGGCCACAGTTAAAAAATAAATTTAAATAATTTAATGAAAACATCTATTTTGTGCATTCATCAGTTTAAAAGTTTTTTTAGAACTGTTTTTTTTGTGTGTGTTTATTTTCTTTGAAATTGTTTATTCATTTTCAGTTTTTTTGCCATACTGGGAGTGCTCAGGGTTTACTCTTTTTGGCTCAGGGATTATTCCTGTTGGAGCCAGATAATATCTCATTTCAGGAATTCGATTTAGATTGGCTGCATGCAAGTCAAGCACTCTACCTATTGTATTCTCTCCTGCCCTACAATTTGAAACATAGCATAGAAAAAGACAAATAGACTAACAGCATCAAGAACAGTACAAAATACTGCTTTGAAGTAGAGTTTGAGGTGGGGGAGGTTGATTCCTCCTATTTTCTTTTTCCCAAGCAAAGCAATATTAATTAAAACAGCATGGTACTAGAACAAAGGCAGAGCTGCAGACTAATGGAACAGGGTTGAATATAACGACATGTCCACCGAAAAATATGATCATCTAATCTTTGATAAGGGAGCAAGAAATGTGAAGTGGAGAAAGGAAATCCTCTTTCACAAATTGCCCTGGCAAAACTGGACTGCTACATGCAAAAAACTGGGCTCAGAAGCCTACGTAACACCATGTACAAAAGTGCGGGGAGTCCCCCAGACCACTCTCCGGCCCGCGGAGGTGGCCCTAGGATCCGTAGGCGCAAGGAGGGACCAACCGAATTAACACAAGACACAAGAGACAGAATGCAGTTCAGAAACAGAGAGAAAAAGGGACAGAGTTTATTGGGGGCAATCAGGGTATATATCCATTAGTAAGGCAGCTACACAAAAGGTCGTGCCCATATGTGGTTAGGAAGGTTTGTTTTCACATATCATGCATTACAAGGTTTGTGTGTATCTCGTACCAGACACGAGGTGATTACACAAAGGGCCATGTCCATATGATTTACCAGACATGAGGTAGATACACAAAGGGCCATGTCCATATGATTTACCAAGCTTATACGTGTCACGTACCAGACACTAGATAGTTACTTCTTGTTATTAATAACAGCCATGACAAATGTTCTCTCAGGATAACCATACATCAAGATAACCATACAAAGCACTGGCTTTGCCTGCCGTGGTGTCATGTAGGTCAAAATGACCATACCTAGCACAGGCACGTAGGCCCTTGGTCAGTTAAAGGGCCAGCTTCCCACATGTCCCCCTTCCTTTATTATAAAAGACGCCAGCTAGGGGGAGCATTGACTGGACCACTCCAAAATATCCAGAATACCTCTGTTTTGCGGAGGGGAGTAGAGTAGACAAAGCCCGTTTTCCCCTGCTCACCCTACTAGTGGAGAGGAGCTGCGGAAAAGGGCCAGCGCTAGGCAGAGGAAACCTCCATGCAGGCCCAGTGTACTCCACAGGGAGTCGGAAGCAGCCAGGAGGCCTTCCTTCCACTGCTTTGCCAGACACCTAGAGGCTGAAAAAAATGGAATAGGGTAAAGTCCGACTCTTTCATACCCAGAGTGTCAGATCAGAGAGGCGTGGGGGAGCTGGCCATGAACAACTCAAGGATGGGTCCAATCAACCATGACCCACGAATTGTCCTCTGCAGCAGATTTTGCTGCCGCACAGTCCAGGGAATCATCTTCCATTGCCAGGTGGTGGTAATGTACTTGTATGAGGTTGGCAGATAGAGAAGCTATCTGCTGTCTAACAAAAGCGGTAATTCGGTTAAAAATGCAGGGGCCCACAGTAGCAATCAATAAAAGGGCAGTCAGGGGACCCAAGAGTGGCAACAAGTAAGGAAGTAGAGTGTGCAGGGCCCACCCAGAGCTAGAAGACTCACGTTCCCGAGGTCTCTGCTCCAAACCTTCCCTTAGTTCTCACATGGAGTTTTTAATCACTCCACTATGGTCAACATAGAAGCAACACTCCTCCCCCAAGGCAGCACACAACCCCCCTCTTTCATAAAGAGCAAGTCCAGTCCTCAGAGGTTTGAAGAGCAACCTCCAAAATAGACGTCAGCGAATCCTTGAGGTGAGAGACGGATTGTTCAAGCACTCTAAATCGGCATCCACGGCAGCACGAAGTGTAGCTAGACCGGACTGCTGAGAAGTCAGGGTGGCAATGCCTGTACCGGCACCCGCAAGGCCAAGGGTGAACAGGATGGCGATGGTAATGGCGCAGACAGGCTCATGGCGGAATCGGTGGGGTGAGGCAACATCGCGCGGCGACCAGTAATCATAAAGGGTGGAAGTTGGGTGGCACAAAATACGGGGGACCACCAGAACAGTCATACAGAATTCTGAAGAGGAGTCAAAAACAGGCAGCGAGATGAGGAGTCAGGCCCGTCACTGAACAGAGCCACCAGGCATCCTTGGTTGGGGTTACGCAGGAGGTGGGGGAGAAAATGTGGGTCAGGAGTGATCCGGGTGCAACGGCTTACGTAGGCCAAACGGATGGAGCCAATGCAATGGCCGGAGCCAGTGGTCGAGGATAGAGCAAGGTGAGGATATCGAGGCCCCAAAAGGGGTCCCCAAGACGAGGGAGGTGAAAGAGAGATACCATAGGAAGCATTGTGGCCAATAGCATCAAAAAATGGGGGGGCGGGTGGCTGAAGGCAAAGCCAGCAGGATACCATAAGTGTTGGGGAGGTCACATTCAAGGATGCAAAGGAGGAGGCCACTAGGGCCCTGTGTGAGTCCCCAGAACCAAATGGGAGAAGGGGAGAGGTGGCAGAAAAGGTGGGGAGGAGGGGAAGGAAGGGTGAGATGTTGAGGGAAGTGCAGACCTTATCTTAATCTCACTTAAAAAAAAACTGTACTCTGCAGTGCTTCCATATATTCAAAAAGCCTTAAAAATGCTCACAATTAAAGCTCTTACAAGTTATATTCACTGGGCAAAAGATCACTTTACATTAGAAATTAAGCAGAAGACATCTTAAAATACTGATTTCCAGGAAAACACAAATACAAAAGATTAAAGCACTCGTAGATTACTATGAAACATTGAGTATTTCACACTTGTGTACAAAGCTTTCTGAAGAACAGGGTCAGGTTAATACCTGGTGACAAGGCTTTGCATGAAAAATAGTAGCATGTACTTTCAAGCACTGGACAGGTTGATTAACAATATACTTAGTAAAATTTCTCACATTTTCCATGAAATTCTCCATTCTCAGAAACCATTATAGAAGGCTGATATCCGAGATTATCCAACTCTTAGTAGTTCTAGAAATTTTAGTTACCAAGAGTCTCAGAGATCAGATAGAGCACTGGTAGGACAAATTTTGCAATCAATTTTATAACTCTAGAAACTCATATTTAAAC